TGAAAGTTTAACATGATTATTGTTTAAGTTTTCATTTAACTTTTTAAGACATACAGACGACCCTGGGAGCTCCCTGAACTTTTTTGTTAGAATTTTAAAACAAAGGATGTTTTTACTGTCCAAGATAATATGTTGAAAATATTTGGTTGGAAATTTTGACCTAAAAATGAATTTCGACTCCAAAAATCAGTTATCTGCCTCCTTAACTAGTAATAAATAACCAGTATCAGCCCTAAAAAAAATAATAATAAAGTCTAGCTGTCAAAGAGATAACCTTCGACATTTATTTGCCTACGTCACGTGCACAGAATGCATCAAAACAAGACATGGCTGGGTAGGAGAAGCGAGTGCCACGGCGTCCTTCCACACAACAATACAACCTTTGAAGCTCAGGAACTTTACAAGTCATCTTGGATTCTGTGACTATGTTTACATGCAGTCAAAACAAAAACCTCAACATATTCAGGTTTTGAAAGGTGATCTGAACACATGCAAAAACCAGAATACACTCATATTCAGGTTTTTAAAAAACCCAAGACCCCTTGCCCCCCCATTTTCTAACCTGAATACTGTATAAAGGCAATCAAGTTATCGCCTTTGAAAGGAACATTGGTTTGTGCTCTGCGCATGCTCTACCAGCAAGGAATCTTGGTCTTTTGAGTACAGTGAGTACTTTTATGCACAGAGTCTGGCGCGGAACCCACAGCAGATATACACAAACAAAATTCAGACACAGCACAGAATCACACTTTTGGAGCGAGGAGGAACCTGACTGCGTGATTAGTGTGGTGAGTAGCTTGAATATAAATGGGTTTTATTGATGGTAGCAAGTAAGAAGCGGAAATTACATCTTTTTGCGTCACGCCATCCGTGCGTCGCCGTTTCAGTCGAAGAGAAACTCTGTCCGCTCATGCATGTAAACAGTGATCCCAAATTCTTCAGAAACCCAAATGTTGACCTTAAAACAAATGCTGATGGCATGTAAATATAGTCTGCGCTTTACCTCTCACACAAACCAATGATGGTCTAAAGATGACTTCATTACTCGATGGGATAATCAGTAGAATCCTCAATTCTAAAAATATTTGCTAGCTGCGGTCATAATTCTAACTAAAGAGGTGTTAAATCCTGGTCCAGCCCAACTTTATGCATTTTCCTCCAAAAAAAAAAAAACCCTGAAAAAGTCAGGTTTGACAGCAACAAACATATGTATTCCCCGTTGCCTTCAACACAGAATCCACGGAAAATCAATCAGTTGTCATCACAACAGGCCGTGAGAAGTCAGTGTGAGGTGTTCAGCTTCACATCCAAGTCGCGGGATTCGGCAATTTGCCTTTACAGAACTCCCATCAAGCCTCTGACAAGTCTGGAAGCATGTAAATTCAACAGTCAGCTGTCCGGTCCACACCGTAGAGGGAACCTCGAAAAGGTAGTGGAACAGTTGGCTTGTAAAAGGGGCAACTTCTTGTCAAAGCTGGCATTTACCATCGTTGTTCTACATCACAACTCTCTTATGAACGCCAACACAATGAGGAATGGGAGAGTAAACTCTGAAAATAACACCCATGAATGGAAAAACTGCAAGTGGACCCCCACAGCCTTGTCACCCAAAACATCTTTGAAGCACCATTTTTTTTTGGGGGGGGGGGGGGGGGGTAATACCAGAGCGAGAAAAAAAAGACAGGACTGTATGTAAGGGAAGGTCAGACTGACAGAACTGAAACGGTCTCCATTCAACTTTCCTTTGGACTAATTTGAACCGCAATTCCAAATTGGAAATCAAGAAGGGTTTTCAGTTTACCACCTGCCAAGCGGCACCGGTACAAGACAGAAGGTCGACCAGGGCCAGTCTTGATCCTTCTGACAGTTTGCTAATCCCGCCAGAGGGATGTCGTCAACACCTGAAGGACAACAGGGTGAGCGCGGTAGCTCCAATAATAGCAGGAAAGGTGCTTTTATCCATGAGGGAGGCTCAGCTCATATTGGAAAGAAAGAAGTAAGAGTAACACTTTCCATCTGCGAACGGCACCTTTTTTGGCGCGAAATTCAATTGACGCTGCCAAAGATTATCCTTCAATTGTCAATCTGACTTGATAACTAAGTCAGGAAACAAAAGCTTATGACACTGGAGTGTTTGCTTTATACAAGCATGAGATAATATAATTATTAAAACACTTGCTTTGTTTTCAAATGGTTTTGTTTAGAAATTATTTCATAACATGTATTTCTTTTTCATCAAAATTGTTTTCTCTATCGTCTAATATTTTTGGGGTGTCTTCGGATATCGGTGTACTAATTTAAAAAAAACAAAAATGCATTTTAGTTTCTATCCATCCATTCTCTTCCTCTTATTTGAGGTCACGTGGCAGAGGCAGCAGCTGAATTACGCAGGGAACCCCGCACTTCCTTCTCCCGAGCCACTTCGTCCAGCTCCCAGATCCCGAGGCGTTTCCGAGCCTGTCCTGAGCCGTCCACCTGAATCTAACATTCATTTTACTGACAGACCCTCCTCTCCACCACTCCTGTTAAGACCTTAGCAAGGAGGCTTCTAGTGGTTGCATTTTTTTAAATATCTTTGGATCAAATATTTGGTTCTAATATGTATATAAATTTAGCATCAAATATGTATTTTCCAACCAATATTTCATCTTTTTTGTGTAACATTTTAAAATTTTAATATTATTTTAGTCTTTTTCTAATGGTGTATTTGTGTCGGTTATGTTTGTACTTTTCGCTACACTTTGTGAATTTACTCTTCGGGGGGATATTTCAATGAATATCAATTTGAAATATTTTCAATTTTTTGGGTGTGACAGTTGGGTACAGTTATTTTTTTTTTTTTTTTTTTAACGAGACTTGAGCATTCTCCCTTTGGCAAATTCTACCTAATGTATTGAATATACCATTGAGTAAATCCCTAGTGTATGTCTTTTCTCGATATACCAATCATATTGCTCACTGCAGCGTGGTATTAAATTTTGCCACTACAAGATTAAATGATTTGTCTGACTGGTCGTATGAATTAACCCCCCTAACCCCCCCCAAAAAAAAGTGTTGTAAAAATGTATGTCCAGTCTTAATGGAGTGACCAAGATAAACATTCTGTGATCAGAGCTGTCCAAACCAAACAGCCACAAGGGCCACCTAAGCAATTATAGCAGGCAAAACAATGCGGTGTGGCAAAGCTCGGTTTAGTTTACAAGCTGGCGCTGGCTCTTCTGAATGCTTTGCCGCCAGCCGCAGCGTCCCACTGCTTCAAGCGGTGGCCTATTGATCGGCTATTGTGTGCTAGAGCAACATCCATTTGCAGCACAAGCGGCGCTCGAGCGGAAAGGAAGATCGCATGGAGTGGCGTGCGTGTCGTCACTTACTTACAATCAACAGTCCCATCTAGTCACTTTTTGAAATACAATAATTCCTCATCCAACCACGAGGCTTCCATCCTTCAGCCTTGTGCAGGAATCATCAATAATTTGGAAAAATACCAGATGCAACAACTTCTTTTTAGGACTCTTTGCCAGGGTTTCAATTTTAAAATGATTACTTCTACAACATTCCTTGAAAATAATTTTTGAGCTACTTTTAGGACAGGCCATGGGCTACTCATGTGGTCTTGGGAGCCCCCAAGACCACATGAGTAGCCTGGTAACCGCGAGCACCACGTTGGTGACCCCTGGTCTAATGGTTGGGATGTCAAATCTTCAGAGATTTTATACATCCCAAAGAGTTAAACCATAACCAACAAATATTTTGGTGCCCCGAAGAATTTGTTATGGGTTTCCTTTTTGGTCTTCTTTTAAAGTAATATAAAGTAACTGAACTTTTTGGTCAGCCGCTGTGTGCTGCATACAAAGTTGTTGTCATTGCAATAAAAAAATTGTGCAAATATATCTTCGCTCACTGTCAATCTTTACATCATGAAACTACAGTATCCCAATTGAGACTAGTATACATCAGCAAATATGGACATGCTGTACCGCCGCAAAAAAGGGTCCAACCAATTCTGTGTTGGTGCGACCAATTCAAAGAGCTGGTCACACCAGTGATCCCAGTCCAAAAGTTAGTGTAGAGCCCCTCCATGTTCACAAACCTCCTTCCATCATCACGGAGAGAACGACATCACAACCACACAAACGATGTCATTCCATCTTTTCAGGGGCAAACGGCTGCACCAATGTGCTTGCTAAAAATTGTGTTTGTTGAGTAAGTCTGTAATCTGCAGAGTTTGAATCAAAGCAACTAAACTCCACTTGTTTGTTGAACTTGTGCTTCTTGTTTTCTGGATGTGTTCAAATACGACATCAGCAACCATGGGGCAAACAGCTATGAGGCAAACTAAGTGTTTGACCAAAGGAAAACTTGTTTTGCGAGGTATCAATTTTATATATATAACTTGCCCTCATTAGGGTTCAGGTGTGTTGAAGCCAAACCCATTTGAAGTGGGGTTACACCCTGGACTGGTTCGTCTCCAATTACGTTCGCACCTATGGAGATTGTGGTCTTTAATGAACTTAATGGGAATGTTTGAGGATATTGCCGAGAATACCTAACGCCACATCGCGCCACATCGGTATGTTGGAGCACAGAGTCGAACACAGAGCCTCAAAACTGTGAAGCAGAGTTCTAAGATCTTCTGCACCTTGTTTCTTTTCAACATCATCTTTTCAATCGTACTGTGGAAGAAACTTGCAACGCCATCAAAGCGAGGGGCTAGGAACCTGGCATTAAAAATAACATCCCAAGAAATGAAGCCAATGTTATCTGTTAAACGATCTTGTTAGCACAAGATTAGCATTTAGAACTCTATGATGACAACTTTTTGTTGTTGTTGGCAGCATGTTGCACGTCTTGCTATGCTAAGTAGCCGCCGATGATCTCCCATGACAGGCGGCTTTAGCGGGATGGAACCATGCGCGCCCGACAGAAATACGTAAAACAACACATACGATGCTTTTGGGGCGTTTTAATTTGTGTTTTAATAAAATGCTAAAAGGTCAAACCTGTTGCGTCCTGTCCGCCGGGTTCATCATCACAGCATCCCGAAAGCTGTTATCCACATAGGACGCCATTTTCATCGTCTTGGAAGTAGACGGTGTTTTAATCCTGTTCAGAATGTCAATTTATCTCCAAAAAGAAGACAGGGTGGACAGAAAGATAACGAAAAGCCGCCTCCTCCTCCGGGATCCGAGACCCGCTTGGCCGTCTGCCCGAAGAGACGAACGGGGCTGGAGGCTTTGGGAGTGCCCCGGAGCCCCTGGCCAACGGACCCTGCTTCAACCTTCGTACAAGCACTCTGCCCCGGCTTGGATTCCTGGCTTCTGCCTGGTGCTCGGTAGCGCGACAACCAAGGGTCGCCGAACTTGCTCTTGACTCAGTTCGCCTCCCTTTTTATGTACTGTTCACCAACGCCATTCTGCTAGTTGCGACCAAGAAAGACAAAAAGGAGGGGGGAGTGGAGCTCGAAAGCCTAACCCGCCGACAATAAATCGGTGCCCATTTTTTTGTTTTCCTTTTGTTTTGTTTTTTCAGAGGCCGAGCCACTCACGGACGAAACATGGTGCTCGGCTTTCGGACTCTAGGAAAAGTGCGACGCGCGTCAGCTCCAACGCCGCTTCCACTGTGCCGATCTGTTGTATGCCACCATGGTGACTGAAAGGTGGCGCCATGTCAAGGTAGAAGACGAACCCTGTGACTTGTTCCTGCACGTTTTTCGAAATAAATGTAACATGCGTCACGTGTTTGAGTTTAGAAAAATAATGTTTCAAACTCACTATACTGGTCTCATAAATAGTGAAGCTCGTGATTGTAATAATAAGACGTTTTGGAGTGTGTTCATTGTTTTTGAGCCATCTTAAAGACGCATGTGGAAGTCTTTGACTGCTGACGGCCGTGTCAGGCGGGAGAAACGTCGAGTCATTCCGGCAACAACTTTACGAGATAAAAGTATAATAATAATAATAAGAAGAAGAAGAAGAAGAAGAATAATAAGAAGAATAAGAATAAGAATAATCGTTAAAGAACAAATAATTGTAAATGTGTGTATATTAATATAATCTACTAGTTAATACATTGAAAACGAAAAATACAGAAACAAATAAATGTAAAAAAAAATCATATTTTAAATGTTCAAAAATGGTACTATATTGAATAAAATAAATAATCTAAAAAATAATTTAAGAAAATAAATAAATAAAGAACTTCAGTAATGATGTACCAGAGCCAGTCGGTGGTGGGGGCTAATAGGTGCATATTTCTGTCATGTCTTGTTCCATAAAAAATGTGCCGCAACTCACACATTGTATGTACCATTCTTAGAAATTGGCCTCAAGTCGTGATGTCAAGGTTGGTTATTTTACTCTGAAAGAATCCTGCTGTCACTTCCCGTTCGGCGGTCGGCGCCTTTGTGCAAATCTCACATAAATGGGAGTGACACGAGTGAAGCTCATGGGCGAGTCCATGTGACGAGAAAGAAGAGGGGTGCGGTTTAAGGCAGGAAAAACTATGTTTTAGCGCTATCTAGCGGCAAGATTCGGAACCATTTTATACTCATTTTTGCATTATATGGTCATTATATCGTCACTAACCACACGCCGTTTTCTTGTTTATAATTCATAAAAATGCACGTTGAATATAACCTGATACATTTTTACGTCATAAAGTATACTGTTCACTAATGCTGCTTTGTTACGTTTCACGAATTCTGATATGGGGTCTACCCCACTCCTCTCCTCTTCGTCGTCACAAAGTAAACTAGGCCACCAGCAGTCCGGCTCCCATGACAACCGAGCATGACCCATGGACACAGAGGAGGTCTCCGCTGACATCATCTCCCAGCGGGGCCAAGTCATGCACCTGAGACAAACTTTGTGAGGAGAAGGACATCATGCAAACCAAACAAAGATCAGCAACAGGACAAAGGATTATTTTTACAGGTAATGCAGATACTAGATACAGATATCATTGATCTTATTTCAAACCGTCATCATTAGCCAACTGGGTTATGTTGCAATGATGTCATGATAATACAGAACTGCACTTAAAAAAAATCATTTTGGGCACAAAAATCATATTAGTTTTTTCGGTGCAAGTTGTTTATTAGAGGAGTGGAATGGACAACCGCTTAGCATGTCGGCCTCACAGTGCAGAGGTGCAGGGTTCGATTCCAGGTAACGGCCTTCCTTTGTGGAGTTTGCATGTTCTCCCCGTGGGCCTGCGTGGGTTTTCTCTTGGTACTCTGGTTGGCGCCCCCCCCGAAAAAAAAAATGCATGGCAAGTTAATAATGGAACACTCTTAAATTTTCCTTAGGTGTGATTGTGAGTGTGAATCGTTGTTTGTCGATGTGTGCTCCGCGGGTGGCTGGCAACCAGTTCAGGGTGTTTTTTTGAGAATAGATATTTATTTGTCGACATGTTTTTCCCATTACCTTTAACTTTTTTTTTTAATCCAGGTTTTTCCCACAAATATGTTGTACTTACTTTCGAGATAAGATAAGATAACGTGGGGAAATTTGCAGTCTATAGCAGCAAAATTGGGGGGTAGGAAAAAAAGTGTTTCATTGCACAAAATAAATGTTTCAGAAAAGAACTGTACACAGTTCAATATAAGTGCAATATAAAATCTAGCATTAGCAATATATTTGTAGAATAAATATAATACATTAGCAATAGCATGGAAAACACAGCATAAAGATAAATTGTTTATTAGAGACTAAGCATGTATTTGTTAAAGTTTGTTGTAATATTTTAGAATATAACTATGGGAAAGGAGATACCTTAGTTTGTCAGATATTTTATTTATTTATTCGCTGTAAATTGTGAATAGAAGTGAGGATTTTGTTGAAAAATACATTTTAATAATATGTCATATAATTTTTAAATCAAAATATTTTACAGTTTATAATTCTAAAAGACATACGATGTTTATTCAAAAGGTGTTTCATTTTTCAAAATCCATTTTCAAAATAATATTAAACAGATTCAATATGTTGTTATATTTTAGAAAATGAATATTACATAGGGCAGCCCGGCGGTCCAGTGGTTAGCACATCGACCTCACAGTGCAGAGGTACCGGGTTTGATTCCAGCTCCAGCCTTCCTGTGTGGAGTTTGCATGTTCTCCCCGTGTCTGCGTGAGTTTTCACCGGGTACTCCGGTTTCCTCCCACATTCCAAAAAACGTGCATGGCAGGCTGATTGAACACTCTAAATTGTCCCTAAGTGTGAGCGCGGATGGTTGTTCATCTCTGTGTGCGCTGCGATTGGCTGGCAACCAGTTCAGGGTGTCCCCCGCCTACTGCCCGAAGACAGCTGGGATAGGCTCCAGCACCCCCCGCGACCCTTGTGAGGATAAAGCGGATTGGAAGATGGATGGATGAATGAATATTACATAGAGGCTCTTTTATTTGTCAACATCTATTTTCTAAATTTTAACAATATATGTTTGGTTTATTTATTTGAGGAGAGTAATTTATTATCGGGGAGGCTTTTTTAAATGTTTAAATAAGATAAGATAAGATAAGATAAGAAAACCTTTATTCGTCTCGCAATGGAGAAATTCCCAATTCACAGCAGCAAAGACACATTGTTAATTCAAGTTGTTAATTTTTTTCAATTACTGTACCAATAAATCAAATTTAAAAATATCATGTCTTAAATCCAAATGTTATTAGTTTCTTAATGTAAAGTCATTTGTTTGAGAATATGTCTTTATTTTAGGAAAAAGTATGTTACATTTAATAATGACTTTATTAATTCATATTTTCGTCCCCAAAACTGATTTCACTGCAGATATTAGTTTCTGAGCAGTAAGTCGTTTACTAGAGAGGAGGCTTATATTAGTTATCACATAAGTAAGGTAATAGCATTTACAGTACCTACTAACTAGAGAGGTCTTTAATTGTCAAAATATTTTTTTTATATTTTTAATATCAAACATTGCAATATAAAAATATTTTCGTCACAAATAGATTGTACTTACACATACTATATTAAAAATAAATGCTTATTAGAGAGAAGGCTTTTATTTATTCATTACTACTGTACTCAGAACCATCAATATGTAACTTTATTATTAGGTGTATTTTTCTCACATCTCCATTAAGGTCCAGATGGTATCGGCGACTACCGACCGAGGTTCAATCAGCCCCCGTACACGGGAGTAGGCATCTTAACCCCTGAGGCCAGCAGCGACCTATCTTACCTGTGGAGGGCGGCTCCGCATGCACCCCCGCCTTTACCCAAGCAGGCCTATGTGGGCGAGGTGGGCTGGTGTTGGCAGTACAGCTCCATGTTGAATGACAGCACGCTGCGCAGCGGCAAGCAAATCAGGGTAAAACTTCACAGAGCATATACACGATTAATATGATTTATTAAATACCAATTACAGTACGTACACTAACTAATTTTACCATTTTAGGGTGTATTTTAATTTCATTTGACAGTGCTTAGCATCTTTCAACATTTGTATCATATAGACAGTACTATTATTCGATATATCGTCATGTCATAACACATATTGTCATAACACTGGGGAACACAATTGTTGTTGAGTTAGGTCTGACAGCTGTTTTTGACTAATTATTGGGTGTGGAATCCAAAACTGATTTCAGGTATTCTGTATCGTGTCAGGTGGCTGGGTGTTCCAGCGGTTAGTGCGTCGACCTCACAGTGCAGAGGTACTGGGTTCAATTCCAGCTCGGGCCTCCCTGTGTGGAGTTTGCATGTTCTGCCCGGGCCTGCGTGGGTTTTCTCTGGGTACTCCGGTTTCCTCCCACATTCCAAATGGAACACTCCAAATTGTCCCTAGGTGTGAGTGTGAGTGTGGACGGGTGTTCGTCTTTGTGTGCCCTGCCATTGGCTGGCAACCAGTTCAGGAGGTTCCCCACCTTCTGCCCGAAGACGGCTGGGATAGGCTCCAGCACCCCCCCCCCCCTTGTGAGGATAAGCGGATCAGAAAATAAATATATCATGTCAAGTTTTTGAGCTATAGGAGCCCCGTTTTTTTTTTTTTTTTTAATGTACGAAATAAATGTGTATATGTATGTAAATAAAACATAATGATGGAATAGTTACAGGCTTTGAAATCCCCACCACCACTAGAAAAAGACAGCATAAAACAAATGAGAATTTATAATGGCCATGGTTGCAAAGAGAAAAGCCAGCACGAATCATCTTTAATTCCAACTCTGCTAGTTTTCGGTTTGCAGACATTGATAGTACTGACCTATTGGGAGCTGCACACACCTCTCACCGCAGTGTCAAGTTTTGGAATCAGCATGCCAATTTTAGATTTAATCAGCATAAAAATATACTTTAACTCATCAGTTTTTTGTTTAGTTTAGTTTTTTTTTCAAATTGTTCCCCAGTGTAATGGGTAAACGCTATTGATGTCACAATTTATACCCCAAAACATTGCCGGTTATTAGTTCAGTATTTTAGATTGTAAATAAATGTATTTTCACACTGATAGACATGCATCACATCGTTGGACTTTTCGTATTTTGTTGATTATTGTGGAAAAATATCTCAATATCGGTAGTTCATTCGCTAAACAGTGAGTAGTTTTGCTGCATTTCAGTCATTGCGGGAATAGGCTAATCGGCTAACATCCCCAAAGATGTGACACAACGTCAACATAACAACTTGCCTTTTACATGTTGCATGTGCAATGAATTGTCAATACACTAGTTTTTGTCATATTAGTTTTTTTTTTTTTGTTGTTGTTGTTTTGTTTCAATATTAGTCTCATTACAGTTGACATTGTATATTTTTGACACCGGTACACATGCATCACATATTTTGTAAATTATCACTGTATCACTATTGTATTATGTTTTGAGGGATAAAACATTGCAATACAGTATTGGTTGTTATTCTGTGAGTCCTTTTCAAAAGGTACATTTAACTTTTCACACTTAGTCATAAATCTTACAATGTAAAATATATTTTAAAAATATATTTTCTTTTAGAAGAGCGTCATACGAATGGAAGTGGAGGACCGAGCGGGCCACAAGTTTCTGCAGCAATCGTAAGGCAACAAGAACCTTATATTTGGGTACGGCAGTACAGAATCACATGACATGCCTTGTGGCAACGGTGTTGAATGTCTGTGTGAGCTCAACTGATCCATAATGCAACACTTTAAACTTTTACATGCGCGCACACGCACACGCACACACACACACACACACACACACACACACACACACACACACACACACACACACACACACACACACACACACACACACACACACACACACACACAGCGAGTCAAAAATGCTGAGTTGAGGAAAATTCGTTTGCAACTATTTATCCATTGTGACAGCTGGAGGGTTTTAAAAGATTAGAAAAGAAAGACAAAAGATAAACCGTGACATTATCTTAACATGGTTAATATTCTAAAATTGTTAAATAAATATATGCTATATACTGTATAATTTAAATTAGGTGGCCTAGTGGTCCAGTTGTTAGCGCGTCGAACTCACAGTGCAGAGGTTGTTGGTTCGATCCTGGCACCAGCCATCCTGTGGGGGGTTTGCATGTTCTCCACGAACCTGCCCGGATTTTTTCCGGGTACTTCCTATTCCTCCTACATTCCAAAAACATGAATGGCAGGCTGATTGAACACTCTAAATTGTCCCAAGGTGTGAGTGTGAGCACAGATGGTTGTCTCTGTGTGCCCTCCGATTGGCTCCGAATGATCCATTCATTTTCCGAACCGCGTTATCCTCACTAGGGTCGCGGGAGGTGCTGGAGCCTATACCAGCTGTCATCGGGCAGTAGGCGGGGGACACCCTGAACACCTAGGGACAATTTAGAGTGTTCAATCAGCCTGCCATGCATGTTTTTGGAATGTGGGAGCGAACTGGAGTACCCGGTGAAAACTCACGCAGACACGGGGAAAACATGCAAACTCCACACAGGGAGGCCAGAGCTGGAATTAAACATTCAAATTGCATGAGAACATCTTTGTGACCCAAGAAATGCCTTTGTGTGTGTGTGTGTGTGTGTGTGTGTGTGTGTGTGTGTGTGTGTGTGTGTGTGTGTGTGTGTTTTTAATCCAGATTACCAGTTTTATTCAAACATGTCAGGTATATATGAACAAATAAAATGAAATTGTACATTTTAAATTTAAAATATAAATCCTGTTGTCGGTAGTGTAGCAGTACACTCGCCTGGTTTGTGTGCGGGCAATGTGGGATCAGTTGCCACTCAGTGACGGTGTGGATGTGGTCATGAATGTTCATCTCTATATGTGCACTGCGACTGACTGGCGACCAGTCGGGGTGTCGTCTGCTTTTCGCCCAAAGTCAGGTGGGATAGGATCCAGGAACTCCGTGTGCGGTGTTGAAAATGGATGGGTGTTTAAATTTCGATTAAACCTATTCATTTTATTTCCTGATTCCAGAGAGAAGAAACACCAAAACCGAGTCTGACAGCAAAATGGTCATCGATCAGCAGGACCAGCACTAGGACACTGGACTATTACAATGAAATCCTGTGTTGTTTTATTTTAACACCGAAATATATTGACACATGGACCAGTTTGATGACTTATTTTATGATGCTACAAGTGTTAATTTATAAAGGAACATGGTTTGACAAAGGCGACTTTTTTTCTTTTCACCTTATGTGGAAAGAAAAAAATATGTATGCCTATTATTTCAGACGAAGTTGTCGCCAGTTAATATGATCAGGGACATATTTTCATATTTTATCAACTACAATGTAGTTACTACATCAACATGATTGTCTTGATGCCTTCAAAAGAGACATTCTAAAGAATGGCCGGAATAGGCTTGACAATGCCCGCGACCCAAGTGAGGAATAGCAGTTCGGAAAAAGGATGGAACTAGCTTTTATTTTGAAACAAGGTAATACTGTACTCTTATTTTGACATATCGTACCGAATCTATAGTCACTTCCGGTGTCTATCCAGCACTTTCCTCCTTCCAGACAGACACACCGGCCGGCTGCTGTGTTGCTAAGTTAGCGTAGGCGAACAGTTCAATAAAGTGTCGCAAAATGTCTCACCCGGTGCCCACTAGCAAGCCGTCCAACCCCGAAAACCCTCGCGTTTTCTTCGACGTTGACATTGGCGGCGCTAGAGGTAAGGTTGCTTTTAAAATGTCATTGAAATTTGAAGTAAATGTTGCAGTTACTGCTAGTCTCGTTAGCTTAGCATCGCCCGTACTCATCAAATAAGCTTGAGTGTTAAAATAAGTGTTAATGTGGCAGCCTATATACACTAGTTGTTGTATTATATTAATTTAATGTATTTTGAATGTTTGAATACAGCTTTATAAAACTAAATATTCAATTTCGGTCATTTGGTGCACACCCCATGTGCGTTTGATTACTTTAGCAAGCAATACACCAGTGGTCCTCAACTAGAAATCCTGTAGGTCCACTTTTTTTTTTAATAAGACCAAGGTCCGGTTCCATGCACGGCGGTCATGGGGAGCAGGGCTATATGCCCATTTAGTATGGTCAAGCCAAGTTTATACAAATCAACACTCCTCACAACCAACCAATAATGGGGTGCATGAAAATAACCATGATTCACTTTGCCAGTACACAGCAAATAATGAGAGGTGTTGTGTTGAGGCACATGAACTCTTTTTATTTTGTTAAGTTGTGCCTGCTTAATAATAGAAACAGCCCTTTTAGGGAAATAAGACATTTTTACTTTCACTTTGTTAAACAGTAGTTGTCTTTTTTCCCTTAATTTAACAAAACAAAATACTCATTTTACCAAAATAAATACGAAACATGAAAATAAAAATATCCTTTTAATTTGTACAATTCCCCTTTTCACATCCCCTCTGAAATCACTGAAAAATATATCAGAAGATGAGTTAAGAACTATTTTAAATACTGACACAAGGGAGCACAGGAATGTGCAGTGTTGTTCTTCCACTAAAGGTGAATGCAATGTCTGAGGCATGCAAATATTATTTGAGGACGCCATTGTGATGTTCATTTACCATGTTGCGGTGTTCTGCTGTTAAACAGCTGCAAAGATCCCCGGGTAGAAGGGAGCAAAACTGCACACAATCGAAACCTCCCGCGATTCGTCTTGTCTAATTGTCTGTATGCGGCTCTCCTGGACTGAAGCTGTGAGCACACTGTGGCGTCGCGCATGCGTCTGTTTCCTGACACAATCATCCATTTTGAATGCGTGTGTATTGGGATAGACGCGTGCAGACGCTTATGTATGGGCACACCTTAAGTTCAGAGGAGCCAATCAGCGCATCGTTATCGCCGACATGCCCTGCTCATTATACAACACACAGTCGCGCTGCTGCGGTCCTCTGCAATACATCTGTTAGTGCACGCAAAGAATACAACGGATAATTTTAACAAGCGATCGAGGTAATGCGCAGATTATAGTCCACAAATATAAAATGTATAACATAAAAATCACTTTATAAATTATTATTTTATACAATTTGCCGAGGGTCCGGACAGAGGAGGTTCGGACAGAGGAGGTCGGCGGTCCGGTAGTGGATTGCGGTCCGCCAATTGAGGCAGGTTGCAGTACACGAATATAATTGATGCTAATGTATGTACCTGCATGTATTGTATTCACAAATTAACAATTAACGGCTACAGCATTACACGATCGGATGGCCCTCCCACTACAAGAGTTGCATTTAATTTTATGGCCTTTTACAACAAATTAATAATGAAGCTAAATTATGATTTGACACTAGCCGATTGCTCGCGCAGTGTTGACCAGTGCTAACAACAGTTGCATGAATAAAAATGTTGTTCGATATGTAGTTATCATTGGCTGTGAACTCTTAATGGGGCAATGCAGCTCTTGTACTGGATTCTCTGATTTGTCATTTATTTCTTCTTTTCCTTAGCCGGCCGAATTGTTCTGGAGCTGTTCGTTGACATCACACCCAAGACGGCAGAGAACTTCCGTGCCCTCTGCACAGGGGAGAAAGGCCTTGGGAAATCCACAGGAAAACCTCTGCACTTCAAAGGATGCCCTTTCCACAGAAGTATGTGGCATGATCGTGTTCACCGCGATGTCATTGATGACTGCGTTTTTAAAAATTTGGACCATGCGTTGACTTTCCTCGACAGTCATTAAGAAGTTCATGATCCAGGGAGGAGACTTCTCCAACCAGAATGGCACTGGTGGCGAGAGCATTTACGGGGAGAAGTTTGAGGATGAAAACTTTCACTACAAGGTAAAGGAAAAGCACGTGGCGCAATTTTCCAACCACTAAATATATATTAACAGCATTTGTTGATGTTTTTCTTGACTCTAATATTAACGATGTGATTTACTTAACATGAAATAGTCCACAATGTTTTTGTTTTTCTTTTTTTCCCCCCATATTATTTAAAGTAACCAGTTGTTTTAAATAAAATGTTCATCCAATCAGTTTTTTAATTGTGCTTTTATTTCATGTTATAGTGTCATTTGATTTAGTGCAGTGCACACAGCAAGCAAATAAACATCTTTGGTTTTGTATTTTTGAAGCACTTTTGTCTGTTCAATCATAATTCAATATTGTTCAATAAAAATGATAATTCTTATTTTTATACATTTTTATTGTTCTGACCATAGTGCACAAATATTACTAATCATATTTTGCTAAAGTATTTGTGTATTTAAAAAATATATTGATTTTGTTCATATTTTAGAACTGCACAAGCAATATCTTAAAAAAACATTTTAAAAATATACACAACTTCAAAAAAAAAATTCTACAGTTTTTCCGATTTCCAAAAGGAATGCAAAATGTATACAATACTTAATTTATTTTAATATAATCCAAATTATATTAGTGTATCCAAGTGTGTTTTTTTTGGGGGGGGGGGTAATTATAGTGCCTAGCAATTTGATGATGAGAACTTCACCTACTCACAGTTCTTTTTCTGAAAAACTGAATTGCTTAATCATCCCTGTCTAAGTGTGGAAAGTATTACAGTTTAGCAACAAGCAAGTATGTTGGAGTGATGCCTCTCGACTGGAGAGGCAAGCTTTATGTGTCCAGGTGGAGCCTGGGTCGTTAAAAGTTATGAAGGGTCTTGGCTACACCTAAGATCCATATTTAAATATGTGCTAAATGGGGCAAGAATCCAGCAGATAAAGAATAAAACCCACACTGCAAACCCTCTTATAATGCAGCGTTCTGTGCATATTGTCAGCACGACCAAGTGGGCCTATTGAGCATGGCCAATGCGGGGCCCAACACCAACGGCTCGCAGTTTTTCATCACCACGGTGCCCACGCCGCACCTGGACGGCAAACATGTGGTCTTTGGACAGGTGCTCAAGGGAATGGGCGTGGTCAAAATGCTGGAGGCCATCGACACCAATGACGACGCTCCCGTCAAGGTAAATGAAGAACAGCGCCGCGCCACAGAGACTGACGCAAACTGTCTGTCATGCAGCCGGTGACGTTTCTCCTTTTCAGCCTTGCGTGATTGCCGACTGCGGCGAGCACAAGGATGGTGACAGCTGGGGCGCTGCCCCCTGTGACAGCACCGGCGACGCCCACCACGACTTCCCTGAAGACTCGGATGTTGACTTCAAAGATGTACGTTTTTTTTTTTGTTTTGTTTTACTTTTGTTTTTACCTTCTAGGGAAAAGAAAATACCACAAATGGTGCCTTTAACATATTTTTGACAAAAACACAGGAACTCTTGTTTTCAATTGCTGTCAGATTGCTCATTTAAAATATGTTTTTAATTTAATGTATTAAATGACATACATTCTCTAATATGCGAAAAACATTTTTAAGAGGATTGAGCAGAAAACTGAAATACTGAATTATTTGTTAACATGACTTCAGCATTGTGAAAAAATACATTTTGAATGAGGATTAGTGCATTAAAAATGAAAAACTAGTAAATTACGATGTTAGATGTATTCATGTGGAAATTAGATTTTAAATGAGCATTGTATAACTTAAAAAGACAAATTCAAATTTTAATGTACTTAATATTGGTATACACAGTATAAGCTTAGTTTAAATTCTGTGATGTTTTTTCAATCACTTTTGTGCCAACTATGACACATCAAAGAATGGTGCCGATTGCAGACTTCATATTTCATTTTTTTAAGCTTGTATATTTTTGATTAAGTTTTAATGGCACGAGTCGACTGCTAAAATGTGTACATTTTATTTAACATTGACATTAACATGACTTTTTTTAACATCACATTTCTATGAAAAGTGCTCAAATAGATTTCTCATTACAAATAGACTTCTTTAATGTGTTAAGTATCGTAGCACAGAATGGATCAAAATGGATTTCAACTTTCCCACCCCCAGGTGGACAAAGTTGTGGCAGTGGCCGAGGACATTAAGAAGATTGGGAACAACCTTTTTAAGAGTCAAGACTGGAATGCTGCTGTCAATAAATACAGCAAAGCTCTCAGGTTCAAGTCTCACTATTAAGCACCCATTATATTCTCATGATAGAAGACAACGTAGCATCAAGGACATGCCTGTTTCCACAGGTATTTGGAAGTGTGCGGGGAGGTTTTGGAGGACGAGGGCGAGGAGTCTCCAGCGCAAAAGAAGCTGCTGCCCGCTGTGCTCAGCTGCTACCTCAACACGGCAGCCTGCAAGCTAAAACTGCAGATGTGGCAGGAGGCCGTGGACAGCTGCAACGAGGTCCGGCGTGGGCAGACGTGTCCACTAGATGGCGCCATTACACAATGATTGTGCTCACTTCTGTGGCGTTTTGTATTGGTAGGCTCTGGAGCTGGACAAAGGCAACACCAAGGCTCTTTTCCGGAGGGCTCAGGCCTGGCAGGCCCTCAAGGAGTACAGCCAAGCCATGGTAACATATTGTCTACTTAAAGCATCAAAAGTAGGGGCAACAAATGCCACGTGCTATGTTAAGTCCTCAATTTTCTTTGCAGTCTGATCTGAAGACAGCTCAGGGAATAGCTCCAGAGGACAAAGGTGAGCGTTTCCCATTCTTGTTGACAAATTGCAAAATCCACACACCATACTGAACATACCAGTGGTGGTAGTAATAATAATTAGGTCTGCTTCTATTTGACCTTATTCAATGACCTGGCCCCCTCTAGTTTAACACATTTACACAGCATTGAATGGTCTATGAATCTCAAACATACCGTACGTATGTAGACATTTGATTGTATATGCGCCTCTAGTGTAGCATATTTAACAATTCTGGCACGACTAGTCATTGCATGGTCTGCACACCTGTACTGTAGGTGATTAAAATTTAATGCCCGGCAACAGCAAAGCGCAAAACTGCAGAGCGTGACTACTACCATCAAGAACCAAACGTTTTGTTTCCGTTTTCCGGCAGCCATCAGCAATGAGATGAAGCGTGTGCAGCTGCAAGTCCAGCAGGAGAAGGAGAGAGAGAAGAAAATCTACGCCAAAATGTTTGCCTGAATGGTCGACCCGCCTCGTCATGTAACAAGCCTCATCCAGAAGTTGTTTTTCAACACTGAATGCTGTCGCTGTTTTGTAGCAGTGTGCTTGGAATACATCACAAGACCCTCAGCAAGTGCAGAACAGTCAAGTAGTTTATTCACTGATGTGACAATATGTATAGTACAACATGTACCTGGAATAAATGTTAACTTATCAAAAACGTTTGCTGGAAGTCTCCGTTTAATATAATTGAAGGCCACTTTATGCAAATGACATGTTCAAACCACACTTTTTTTTTTGTAGCGGTAGTGTCACATGATAAATTAATAAAATCCAGGCTCTTCAAACATGATTTGTGTTCCTTATTACAGTACATATACCACTACCAGTCAAAAGTCTGAACACTTTTTTAATATATGGATAAATCATATTCACGCTTTTGACTGTATAACAGCAACGGTAGGCACATACTGGCAAGAGGCCCTGAATACTCATTCAGTCATTCAAGCTTACCGAATGTTCCTCAAATGGTGGCCAGGATGCTTTATTTACATTCCGTTGTAGGCCGGTCCGCCTCCGCCTTCCGGGACCACCCAGTTGATGTTCTGGCTAGGGTCCTTGATGTCACACGTCTTGCAGTGTACGCAGTTCTGAGCGTTGATCTGCAACCGCATGCCGTCACCCGTTTCCACGGGAACATACTCGTACACACCTAAGAAAAGATGGGGGATGCGAAGTTTGGGATTAAGACAATGTAATTACGACATTCAATCTAATTTACATTTTATCCTATTTGGACCACATTTCATGGTACATGCAGCCTTAATTCAAACATCCGTGCACCTTCTATGTACCACATTTACATGTTTAATGATCTGTGCAGCTCCAATATACCGTATTTACATCACGTTTCATGTCCTGTGCACTTCTCGTGGAATTACATTGCATAGAATAAGATGCTTTAATGTACCCTATTTACAGAGTTAATGTCCCTGCGCCTCAAATTTGATGTATGTATAATATTTAATGGCATTCACCACAAATGTACTGCATTTCCACATTTAATGGTCTATGCACCTAATGTACCATTACTTATCATCGCATTTGATGTCATATGTAGCTTTCTAGATCACATTTAATGGTCTGTGTAGTGTGCACCTCTACTTTAGTATGACTAGATCAACTTTAAAGGTCCACCAAATGATGTCCCACATTCACATCGCATTTCATGGTCTGCATTCAAATGTACCACATTAGTATTTTATGGTTTGTGGACCTCGAATGCATAGCATAATGTAGCACATTCACAAAGCATTTAATGGTCTGTGCACCTCTGTGAATTGAGACTACAGTACTGGTCTGCTGCCCGGAGGTACCACATTTGCGGCATATTTAATGGTCCGTGCATTCCTAATGTACCGTATTTAGACCACATTTCAGAGTTTGTACACAGCTTATTCACCCGCCGGGCAGAAGCGCTGTTCGGGCCCGTCGTAGATGGCGAGGTTCTTGTTGACGGGCACACTGTCATCCATGAGGGTAAGGTGCGCGGGCTGGTCTCCTTCATGGTTGGTGCCACTGAGCGCCACGGAAGACAGCAGGTCAAAGCTGATCTTTCCGTCGGGTTTGGGGTACTCGATGGGTGTGCAGTCCTTGGCCGGCTTCAGCTGGTCGGCATCGCGACCTGACGCACACCAAAACCAGATGAGACGAGCTCATACGATATTTCTGCAAACAGTGACTCACCGCAGTGTTTGAGCGTCCATGGCTCTTTGCCCCTTAGGATCCAGTAGAAGATCCCCGTGTAGATCATGCCACCGTACAGACCAAAGTAGTTGTGGAAGGACGGTCGGATGTTCCGAACGGCGCGGAGCTCCTTCCACACCCAGGACGCCTTCAGGGCCTCGGCGTACTCGGGAACGTGCAGACCTATTGGCCCAAATTTCAACCCTTTCAACAGTCCATGCATTTCAAATATAACATTTAGATCTCATGGTCCTTGCACCTCTAACACCCCATATTTACACCACAATGCATGGTGTGCACCCCTGTAATGTACTACTGTGTCTTAAAACGAGCTTTAAATTCTCTGCGAAGACAATATTCAAAGGCCAGTATGTCCAATGTACATTCTTCAGTGGTCTGCGCACCGCTATTGTAGCGGATTTCATACCCGTCGTCTCCGCCTCGCCACCTTCAGCCACCGCCACCACTCGTGGGAAAATAGCCTCCGCTGCCAGCATGCCGCTCTTCATGGCCGTGTGTGTACCTTTGATCTTTGGCACATTCATGAAGCCGGGGCTGCAGCCAATCAGAAGGCCGCCCGGGAACGTCAGTTTAGGGACAGACTGAGCCGGAAAAGAAGAGACACAAATTTTCAGGAGGGTTGAAGTGGCCATTTTAATTTAATTTTGTCATTTCCCAAGGTCCTTTCGACCATTACTTTTCTTGTTGCAAGGGAATTTGGAACATGTTAAAAATTTTCTTGCTATAAGAAAAAACACGAAAACTGTTGGCGAATGTCTGGCGAATGTTTGCGACTTGGAACAAACCCTGACGAAAATGCAACATTCACTACCTTCGCAAATGTTCGCCGCTCAGTGGAATAGGGGCTTTAAGCAGCATGGAATTTGGTAGTTATGTCTATCATGTGGAGACCAACAAAAAAAAAGTCATGCCCAAAAAGGTATCATGATAATCATTTTTTATAGTCATTTTAGTAATTTCCAGGAATGCTTCAAAGACAAGCTTAGAGATTTCGTCTGATGAAATTGAGACATTTTAGTTTCCATCGTTGCTTGTGGGTGCAGCATGGCATGACGTGTCTTTTAGGAAACCAACAAACAGCACCCAAAAACTGAGTCAGCAGCACCCCCTAAAAAAGTGGGGGGAAAAGTCACCCTCAAGGCGAGTTTTCACAACTGACACGAACTTGTGTTGTAAACAATAACAGGACACACAAAAGTATCAATGATTAATGGCTGCAATTGAATAGGAAGTCCACCATTTGAGGGCAAATGGCCATTTTGGGCAAATTTAAGGGCTTGTTTTTTAATCAGCTTTTACCTGGGCAATTTGCTCAAATGAGCCATGACTGAAAGCAGCTTGGATGGATGATGCTTAATTGACAAGTTTTGTTTTGTGCTAATGCCCCAATGTCATTGGTTGGAGCTGGGCGTCAACATTGGATGATCATTGTGAAATTTGACCATGAAAAAGTGCCTGCCCAGTCTTATCGGACAATGAGTTTCTTTCAGAGCTCAAGGCTTACCTGGAAGCCGCCCTCGTTCAGGGCGCGGGCTCCGTACGCGATCCTGTGGCCACCCTCCAGTGTGGGGGCGACGAAGGGGTGATGCTTCCACCGCTGGAACTCCCGGAAGGGGTTCAAGTAAGGATTTGAGTAGTCCAGGCCCACCTGTACACAACCATCATTACTATTTACACCGACAAAAAAAAAAAAAAAAAAAAAAAAAAAAAAAAAAAAAAAAAATTTTTTCCCCCAAAAACAAAAAAGTGTTTTTTTTCTCCCGACGATGTATGGTAAGGCGTTTTTAACCAAAAAAAAAAAAAAAAAAAAAAAAAAAAAAAAAAAAAAAAAAAAAAAACTTTTTTCCCCACAAAGCCAAATAGGTTTGTATTTTCCCACCCTTGGTCGATGAAACTCTCATTTAGAAACTACATTTTATATTTCCTGGGGTTGTCACTGTGTGATATTAAAATTGGTTTGATGGACTGAAACCTTTGTGTGGTCAATATGCAAAAAAAATAGAAATGAGGAAAGGGGGCAAATACTTTTTCACAGCACTGTATTGTGCAGTGGTGTCGATTTTCCTCATGTCAAATATGTGCCTTGGGTCGGCAAAGGTTGCAAAACACTGGTTCACATAAATTGCAACGCACCACAAAGCCCAGAGCCACCATGGGCTCTCCTTCGTTGAGGTGATACAGGAAGGAACCTCCGTAGGTATTCCTGTTGAGAGGCCATCCCACCGAATGCTCCACTCGGCCAGGACGCCACTTCTTCTCTTCGATGGTCCACACCTAAAATAAACACATACACAAAAATAGCCATCATCACGCAGTGGATGACTTTATTGCCGAGAAGGCAACACGCATGTAAGGCGCTGGTGTGAAAAGAGACTACATTGCAACAAATCATGCGGCATACATGCCTTTTTATCAGCAGTGTGGAGTTTCACGACAGTAAATTGATATTGCATAACACCCAATCAGTGCTGCATTGCATCACTCATAGATATTTAAAATCTATACATCAATAGATAGCCACTGTCCAATGTGAAGTTTGTACTTCCAAGTTATGTCACAGTTTCCATTTATATCCAAATACTTTCTGAACACATCTGAGGTTGTGTTGGTGAGCCCTTCCCCTCTGCCAAGATAAGAAATCCACCATAGAGGTGTGAAATGGTCCCAAACCATGGCCTATTTCAGTGGTTCTTAACCTGGGTTCGATCGAACCCCAGGGGTTCAGTGAATCAGTCTCAGGGGTTCGACAGAGCCTCTGCCATGGAGGTTTAGACACACTTAACTCAACATGTCAATTAGTTATGACACGCCAGCTTGGCCAACACTGGCTGCAGATGATCACATGACATTGCTTGTCCAGCGCTGCGGGAAATTTAGTTCGCTCAGTCGTCAGCGTGTGACTGTCGTGATAGTATGTGGTGTGATTTATTATTATTATTATTTTTTTAAATGTTTTAACACATGCTATGTCGAGCAAAAAAAAAGAAAGTGGTCGGACGATTATGTACAACATGGATTCACAGTTCAGCTTTTCCTTCCACCTTCGGTTTAAACAGAATCCGCCAATAACTATAAGAAGACGCAGTCAACAGAAAGTAAAAGAAACAATGATCGAACATGGAGCTAAACGTCCAAGTGATGGGTAGCCATGACTTCTGAAGATGAAACTATTTTGACAAGAGAAAATCCCTCCCATCGCTTTTGTGGCAAGATTTCCAGAGCGACGTGAATGACGAAGCTGCTGTACGGTACGTGCGTAGTTCACGGTGTGGTTTTATATTGTTCTAAATTTGTCGTACTATGCAATAAAAATGTTTCAAATTAATGAAAAAAATGATCTTACTAAAATGTTGAACGACTCAATAATGATCTTCGTTGTCACGGTTTTGTGAAATTTCACAGTTTCTCAGGTGTCGGTTACCTCCTTGAGGCCGATGGCGTATGTCTGAGGCTCGCAGTTCTCACGCAGGTTGAAGCGTTTGTAGAGCTGCTTGGCAAGATGGCCGTGACATCCCTCGCCGAACAACGTCACCTTGGCGTGGAGCTCCATCCCCCGCTCAAAGACGTCCTGAACACACATGCTACTGACCACAATTCCACGCACATGGCCAATAGAATTTGGCGCGTGCTTCGGCGGCACCTTTGGTGAGCCGTCTTTGGCGATGCCGACGTCATTGGTGGCGATTCCTTTGACGCTTCCGTCTTCGTGGAACAAAACCTTCCCGGCACAAGAGACAAAGTTAAAAAAAAAAAATCTGTATGAAAAACATTCAGACAGAACTACATGGTAAACACCAATACTCAAAAACCATAATTGTTGAACGAAAGACGATGTGCATTATTTCTAAAGATGGGTTTCAAAGAAAGGTTGGGGTTTGAAAGGACTTTTTGAGCGAAGTTCAGGGTTTAAAGCCTGGTTTGGGGTTTCAAATAAGGCCTTCAAAACTGAATGAGGATTTCAAGGCGGGACTCAGGTTTTAAGTTTGAGCTTCAAAATGTGGTTAGGATTTGTAATTTGGGGTTTCAAGGGCAGGTTTAGGTTTTGGGATTATGTTTCAAATACGGGCTTTGAGCGTGAACAAGGGTTTTTAAATTCAGGTTTCAAAACGGGATTAAGGTTCAATGTGAGATTTCAAGGCTGAGTTTCAAAAAAGGGTTACAAACAACAATGGCTTCAAGCCTGAATTTTGGTTTCACACAATGGATAGGGGGGCAGTGTTACGGTTTCAAAGGAGTAATTATGGTTAAGGTTTGAAAACTAGGGTTAGCGTTTCAAATGATCAATCTTGTTTTAAATGGGGATTTTAAATGTGATTTTCAAAGAGTTTCAAAAGAGAGTTATAGCTTCAAAGTAGGATGCCAGACAGTTTCAAAGTAAGTCTCAAGTCTGAGTTTGGGTTACTAAGTATGACTAGTTTAAAATGATAAAAGCGGTATCATTGTGACCTCGGAGGCGGCATAACCAGGATATAACTCCACTCCAAGTTCCTCGGCCTGCTCGGCCAGCCAGCCGACAAAGTTGCCCAAACGAATTATGTAGTTGCCGTGGTTCCTCATAGGCAGACCTATCTCACATACACACCAATACAATTACACTTTGACTTTAAAAACAAACAAACAAAAATCTGCACAATTCATTCACGACATTTGCTCAGGAACTGTACCTGGCAACATGGGAACGGGGATTCT